AAATAGAAAACAACTCACTTCTTTCTTTCATTAAATAAATCTATGTCATCCTTAAACAATCATCAATGAAAATGACAGAATACTTGTAACCATTATAGGACTCAATTATGATTGGACCCCAAACATCTGAATGGACTAAAGCAAAAGGACACAACATATGACTATCGACTCTAGGACTAAAGGAAACCCAATGGTGTTTTCCATATTGACATGACTCACACTACAAAGAAGACAAATGACTCAAAGAAAGAACAAGTAGCTTGAGAGCTTTGAGAGATGGATGTCCCAGCCAACAGTACCACTGGAGAGGAGTCAGGGAAGTCTGAAGTGCAACTGAAGATCCACCACCATCAAGATAATACAATCCACTAGCTTCATGCCCTCCACCAATTTTCTTCCCCGTCTTGAGATCTTGAGAAACAGAAGATGAAGGATAAAAAGTGATAGAACAATGAAGGGCCTTAATTAATTTACTAATAGACATAAGGTTGAATGGAAATTTGGGCACATATAGAACAGAGGATAAAGAAAGAGATGTAGTATCAACATTACCAACACCACAAATGGGAGAAAAACCATTGGCTAGGGTAACAGTTTGGGACGTGGAAGTTTCAGAGAGGGAAGAGAACACACCTGGAGTCCCGATCATGTGATCAAAGGCTCCAGAATCAATGATCCAATGAGAAGGTTTGGATGTCAGACAAACCACACTTGAATGAGCAAGGGTAGCAGTGTTCTGTTGTGAAGTGGCCTGAAGGAACCTCTCATACGAATCTCGTGGTACACTATCATCTCCTTCCCGGAAGCAGATGTAGATGTAGAGTGTGTTTGATCCGTCTGTTGATTATAACTCACATCACCAGTTAACCACTACCAACAGCTGCATGGTTAGCCCATGTGGAAGGTGGGCCATGTAGATCATAACAAAAATTAATTGAATGTCCTTCCTTGCCACAATGTACAATTCTTAGTAGTGTGCCCTCTTCCTCTACCACGGCCTGCCCCCAGAGTCACAACCTCCACCACTTCCACTACCACGATCAAACATGGGATTACCATGGCCTCCTCGAAATGCATGTCCTCCCCCTCTATTTCCACATCCACCTCCTCTCGCTACAACAAACATTGATCTGTCAGAAGTTGTGGTACTCTCTATGGGTCCTAGGGAAATCCTACGGAGCCGAGCAAATACTTCCTCAAGTGTAGGAAGAGCAAAGCTTCCCAATATTTGTACTCAACTGGTTCATATTTTGATTTCAGCCCTACTAAAAACTTGGTTAGATCAAGTTTCTCCCATTGTTGTTGCTGAATTTTGACATCTGAAGTGAGGGGGTGATAGACATTAAGTTCATTCCTCATACTGGCATAATACTCTTCAAGGGTTTGACTTCATTGTTGTAAATTAAAGTACTCCTAATAGAGCTGATATACTCTCGTAGTATTGTCCTGTCTAGAATAAAGTTTCTTTACATGTTCCCATATTTCCTTGGCTGTATCTAAGAACATAAAGTTTGCACTTATCTTGGGTCCCATATTGTTCCATAACCATGTCATGATTTGGGAATCCTCTTGTTCTCAATCATCAAACCCTGGAGATTCAGTTGATGGTTTATCCTCCTTCACATGTTTCACCTTCCTCTTGGCCTTGAGAAAAACTTCCATTGACTTGGCTCATGGCACATAATTTTCACCATTAAGTTTAATTGATGTCATCTGCACACCTAAGTAGTCAGAGGGGATCACCACACTAGATTTCTAATAACTATCACCATCTCTGGTTGCTACCATGGTGTTCTCAATACAGGTAACTATCAATTGCACTTCCTACTTCTGAATTATCACCTACCAAAGAGAAATATTTCTGCTGTAAGTCAACACTACTGCAGTCTACACATCACCTCACTGCACTCTTTCAATCAGCCACCATAAAAAAAAAAAAAATAGCACCATTCAGACATTTAGACCCATTCGGCCATCTCCTTCAAAAAAAAAAAAAAATCCTCACACCACTATTGATAGCCAACCACCATAACTGCAACAAGGAAGAAAACCCTCTTGAAACTGCTCAGTAGAGGGTCTGAACCACCATACACGCGACCACACAAACACTAGGGCTGTCACTCATGGTGACAGCAATCTGAGAATCACCAACGGGCTGCCACACCTTCCTAACACCTGTAATAGAGATTGCGGCAATCCTGAAATCACCAAAAAGGTTGCCACAGCCTTCTACTTGGTGTAACCCAGATCGTAGCCCAGAAATAAAGGAGAAAATACAAAGAGAGATCGCAGGTCCAGAAACATTGAGATCACAGCCTTCTTTTTTCGTATTTATCGCTCTGATACCATGCTTTGATGGTTCAGACAAGTTCTACTCAAAGGAGGAGAAAGGAGAAATCTGTTGAACAAGAGAGTCTACACCCTCCTAGTCGACCATAACCTTTTATTATATTCATTAAGGGTACAAAGTCAAATATGCCCCTACTTAAGTATGGGACAAGAAATTTAAAATAAAACAGTATTGCCAAGTCACCACTTAAAGTAAAATGAAAAAGACTAAGTTACCCCTACTCGGCCAACTCTAACACAAGAATATGAATTTGAGGATGCAATAGATGAGGAGATCAGCTAATGTGATGGCAGACACCTAAGCTAAGCAAGGGGTTGAATTAGGGGTCATTTGTTTTGGGCTAAGTCGTAATTTCTAACTTCTATTTTTTATTATGGGAGAGGTAGCACCTCGTGCCTCTCCAAGGGGTGCTTGTAATGTCCATTTCTTTTGATTAATAAAATTCTATTTACTTACCAAAAAAAACACACACTACACTGCCTAAAATCATGTATTAGAGATGATTGATCAATAATAATATCTCTAGTTCTGTATATCCAAATGGTCCCCAGAGATCAACTCATTTTGAATAAGGAGAACTACCAAATAAGTAATGAGAAAGCTTAATCTTTCCATGGCTGCAAAATGCATAATGCTATATTGGAATGAAAATTACAAACACAGATCTTCTTTCAAGCATGGTTTCAAATGTCACCAAATGTCACTAATGTCGCCCGACATATGTCGATGTCGAGGCTCACCGACAAGAAAGTGGATGGTAATATAAAAATTACATTAAGTCGGTCAACATTTCCTATATTTCGGAAATGTCGACCAAATCGGTCCAAATAACCAAAACAAATACAGTTTTTCCTATTATGTTGACAAGATGTCGACTAATGTACATCAAAAATATAATATATTAGTATATTATATTAATATAATACAGTTTATTAATATAGATTATTCCATTAATAATTTCTATTTAATATTTCAAATAAAATATTTATAAAAAGAATTAACAAAATATAAAAAAAAGAATAAATTAATTACTTTATTATATAAAACATAAAATATTTTTCAAGTAATAAAATATTAACTAGTTAGTCTTTTTTAAAATATTTATTACAATCAGAAAATGTTTATTAAATTTTATAATAAACAATATTCTACATTTAATATAAAAAATCAGAATAAATTTAATAAATTTTATACTAAATCATAATTTATTATAAATTGAGTATTAAAAATCATAATAAATTCATTAAGTTTTATAAGAAATCAGAATTTATCATAATC